TCCCTCTCTCTCAGCTTCGAATCGCTTTCTCCGCGGACGCGTCTGAGATATTTCCATCTCCGCGACACACACGTGCGATATGATTCTTACGGAATACCCGGCGTTTTTCCCGCGCGGTAAAATATACGCGCGGCTCTCCAGCTCGGGCCAGATTGCGCCCGTCGCCGATTTGCCGCCGGTTTTTACGGCCTGGGATTCGTGAATAATTCAGGGATCACGTTCGAAACTCACGATTATATCTTTCGGGGCAGTGCCGCGTTATTTATGAGTCTATTAATTTCCCGCCCTCAATTACGGAGATTTAAAAAGTTTTATTCCCGTCGTTTCTCGCAACCGTTCGGAAAAGAATGTCGAGTTATAATCGACCGTCCACGATAAACCCCCTTCGGCCGTGTCGCAAATGCGTTGGCGCATCTCTGAATTCGCGTCTCTGGATTATCAAACTTGCAATTGACGCTAACTACGATTTGCATTAATTCTCCCGACAGTTGTCTGGACGTCGAATTAATTTACACAATAGTAAAATAATAACGTCCCAATTCCGACGCGGAAATTCCAGTCGGATCGCCGATCGGCGTTTCTCCGTCTCATTACAGACACACGAGCGTATTAATCTTATGCAGTGCGAGTGATCTCACGCGAGTGAGGGGAAAGGCACTTCGTCTTCAACGCGACGTAATCAGCGACTCTACACTAACGCAAAATTTGTTTAACTAAGTAAGCAGATTTACTTAAAATTATGTTCTTTTACCAAAGCAAATATTCATTCTATTTAAATAAAAATATCAAATTTCAAGTAAATCCGTGTATCATATTAAGTAAATTAATTTAAATAATTGTTTTTGTCAAATAAGATTTTCTTAGTAAACATTTTATAGAATTAAAGTAAATTTTTTTTCACTTAAAGTTATCTATACCGTTTGATATTTAATAAATACTTAAATTAAAGAAATGCATGTTTTGATTTGTTTATTATTTTTTTAATTTAAGCTAATAAGCTATTAGGAGCCACCCAATGAATAATTTTCTTGAGTAAAGTAATATCTTTTTGGATTAAGATATCTTTTTTATCAGTGTAAATAAACGAAACGTTCACTCGGAGGAATCTACGCAGAGGTCTGGTTTGCCGATCATAATCACGCATCGATTCGAATGCTTGAAACCTGTACAATGTGCTCCTTGCGTCTAAGAACATTCTATTTTGTTGCCAACAAACCCGTTCAAAAAGCAAAGGAAAAATTCTTTTAAAAGTCGACCGGACTGGCAAAAAGTGATCTTTATTCAAGTCACAACGTCTCGACCTCTTTATCGGGTCCCGATGTGGACTGAAAAAATTAATTTATGCCGAAACAAACCGAGTTCATGCCAGTTTGGTCATTTGCCAGTCTGGTCGACTTTTCAAAGGATTTTCCCCTTTTTTTTAATTACCATTGGCGACAATAAGCTTCACTCAATTTTGTTAAATAGATTCAAAAAAATTTATGCAAGTTCGTAAATCGTACATTGTCGTCCAATTTTTTAAGAGTTTTCATTCGCTTGGACAAACTATGGTGTTTCTAGATGCAGAGAGCGCATTGATCAGGCTTCAGAAGGAAACTGCAGAAGGAAAGCTGCGGCGCAAAGCGACACGTCCAATCCGGGCAACTATAAAGGGTTAAGGAGATCGATTTGCGACGTCGATCCTCGACGAATCGGCAGCGCGCGTGCGTCAAAACTTACGCGAGTTCGCCGAAACGAGATGTGGAAACGGACGCGACGGCCGTGAACTCTTTCCACCGTCGTTCTGCGAGCAAAACTTCATCCGACAAGTGCGAACGTCCTCTTTTTCGCGGTATCACGATTACAGCGCGAATTCGTCGCGCGAATTCCCGGCCTCGTTATTACACAACGTATTTAAGTACAATACAATGTTTCCGACGAAGAAAGTGGGTCTCGCGGCTCGACTTTACGTGTAATTTCAATTTTAAAATATCCGAACCACGTCAAGCTGCTATTAATGTCCGTTTCTGCCAATGCGGATTGACTTTAATCTCGGTTTAAATTACCTTTGCCTGTTTCTAATTTTTTTTTTAACTAGGAAAAGATAGAGGTGAGTTAGACCGAGATTCAGGCTGATCCGCATTGACAGAAACGGGCATAGATCGTGCGTTCGCCGACTCTGCTCCGAGTCGTCCTCGGCGACGCGGTGACAGCCGAATTAATAACAATCTCACGTTCCCCGCCGGCGGTAAAGAGCGAGCACTCAAAAATTCATTGTGCGACGTTCGCGCGCTCTCGAAGAACGCAAAACACACCAGGGAAGTTCCGTCGACATTCATAAACTTTTATTATGCAAATCGCGCCCGAGCTATCGATTGAACCTACTTAAAAGTCAATCAGATCAGCCGTTATTGAGATCCGATAATCAAAAGCCCGTGTCGCGCCACGTATTGCTCGCGCACCCTCAGAAAGCGATGTCTGTTACCGAGACAAAAAATATCCTTCACGCATTTATATCTCGCGCAACCTCGTTTGGTATAAAAATAGGACAATATCAAAGTAACATCAATAATTCTTGTTCTCCGCTGTCGAATTAAAAAACGATTGACTTACTATAATACATCGAGACAAGAGTGACTTATACAAATGTAAGTTTATACGTTATTGCGTTTAGAATAAATTATCCCTTCGTCTTACAACGCACGTATTTGGCACCGCGCGATATTCTACACAAGACGAAACATATTTTATTCCAGATTTTAGAATTTTCCATTTGAGATTGAAATATTCCTTTCTCTATAATAAATATGATTCTTATAGTCCTTTATCGAATTATAAAAGATTCATAATTCGATATTTTTTTTCGAATTAGAAAAGACTTACTACATCGAGACAAGAGTAATTTATCTAAATGTATGTTTATACAATCTTGCGTTTAGAAAAAATTTTCCCTCCATCTTACAACGATACGTACTATCATTTTATTCTAGATTTTACAATTTTTCTACATTTATTCTAGATTTAGAATTTTCCATTCAACATTAAAATATTCCCTTGCCTATAATAAATACGATTGGCGCTACATCGATCCCATTTTATGACCACATTCAAGTGATTACACCTGAAGCATTGGATCCGGAAATTATTTCTGTGGGTGCGCGATCCGCCACGTCGATCCAATCCGCGATCGGCAATCAGGTACGTAGTGCGACGCGGGCTTTAAGGGCCTCTCCACTCGCGCAAAGATACATGGTCAGTTCCGCTTCGAGTGCCGAGCGGCGTGGACGTTCTTGCCTAATCTAATTGGGAAATTTTTGACTTTGTTCACTTACGCGTAACTCGACGCAGTTGGTCGGTTGGGTGCGGGCCTTAACTTTCTCGTTGCCGATAATTACAAGCTAAGTAATACACAAACGACTATTGGTTCGACGTTGCCGTGTCGGCTCCGAGTTAGAGCCGGGTGCCAAGAATAAGACAAAGAAGAAGAGACGATACACGGTCGGTCTCGCGCGCGCAGTCTGCGCTACGCTTGTACTTGGCGCGAGACACCACCGTCTCTCGATCCGCAAAATCGGACGAATTCGGGCGAAATCAGTCCGGAGAGAACGCGAGAGGCTCGCGAACCGAAACTCCCGGAGAAGAGACGTCGAACAAGGGGAAATCCGATTTTTCGCGGCGTCAAAAAACACATCGAGGCGACGATACCCAACGTCTCGAAATGCCGATCCGGCTCCGACGGTGCTCCAAAGCGGAGTCGCCGGGAGATCTTTTCGCGGCGGCTTCGCGCTAACGAGACGTAATTCCGCGCCGCTGAAAGAGCCGCTTCTCCCGGCGACTCCTCGCGACCGAGTACTAGTATTTACACGGGCCGCGTCGCCGCGAGATTAAAAAGGAGAGGGGGGGGGGAAGAAAAAAGAAGAATCGGAGCGCGCCCCTCGCGCTCGGGATCGCGGCGTAAACAAACCGTCAGACGTGACGTCCGCGCGCGCTCCGCCGCGCTGATAGCGGGGACGCGACTCCGCGTCCGCGTCCGAAACCGCAACCTTATCGGCCCGATTTCCAATCGAT